AGGCAGCCGATCAATGATTCTCTCTCATCATTGATGTTTCTATCTCTCCTCCCTTCCTCTCTGAAATCAATAAAAAGAAATATATTTTTTAGAAAATATATTTTGTCCCCTAGGAATTTATTTTTTCTAATTAGGGTAAGCTACTTTAGTTATGGTCTTATGGGCTGAAAAGCTACATTTTCTATGAACAGAGGTAAGTGTTACAGAGTATATGCCAATGCATTTTTTACTTTTTCAACAGAAAAAAGGGGCAAAGGGAGATGAACACTAGAGAATGCTTTTAAAGTGGACCCCAGTCTTTATAAATATAGTTACATTTTGGGTCTTTAGAATCATAACATTCTTTTTAGAGAGGCTCCAGGGGAATGCAGTATCAAAATCATATTCCTACTCAGGCCAGTGTGGCTCAGTGGCTGAGCGTTGACCCATGAACCAAGAGGTCACATTTCTATTCCCCATCAGGGCACGTGTCCATGTTTTTGGGCACAATCCCCAGTAGGGGGTGTGCAGGAGGCAGCCGATGATTCTCTCTCATCATCGATGTGTACTTCTTTCTCCCTCTCCCTTCCTCTCTCTGAAATCAATAAAAACATATTACTAAAATTTTAAAAAATCATATTTCTAACTGTTTCATTGGCTACATTTAAAAACTAGGTTTCTAACAATAAGCACCACATTTAGGGTAGTATTGAGCCCTAGCAGCAGCGAGGGGAATAAAAATAGAGCGCTTCAATCATATTTATTTCTTTTTCTTTTCTTTTCTTTTTTTTTTTAGCAATTGTACACAAGGCTTTATTTCTTAAGCTGGAGGTTGGCTCCTGAGTTAAAAAATTTTTTTATACTTCTGAATGTCTAAAAAAATCTGTAATTTTAGAAAAGTTTTCCAAATTCAGTATAAAACATTCTATCTCTACTAGGCTTTCCACTGTTCTACTTTCTGTGAAACAGATGGCTATTTTACATAAAGAAAAGCAAGTGCCTTGTTGTGAAAAATAACTCAGTTATCTAGGAATCCTACATAACTCTAATTAGCTAAAGAAGTATGTATGACACTTCTAACAATGATGTCCTGTTATAAACTGACGGAGAAATATCATTCCTGAAGATTTTGGAGACATATATGCACATTGTTTCACCTGAAAAACGAATGATGGTTATAAAACTTTTCTTTCAGAAAAATATCACCCTAATACTGGTGAGAGTAAGGTATACAGTAAATCTTCACTTAATATTGGTAAATTCTTAGAAACTGTGACTTGAAGCAAAATGATGTCTGACAAAACCCATGTTACCATTAAGAAAACAAGTAAGATGGTTTTCCAATCACCCTAATACTGGTGAGAGTAAGGATACAGTAAATTTTCACTTAGTATTGGTAAGTTCTTAGAAACTGTGACTTGATGTCTGACAAAATCCATGTTACCATTAAGAAAACAAGTAAGATGGTTTTCCAATCTGCTTATTCTAGTTCAGGGTCACAGCTGGCTGAAGCCTCGCCTGGCAGAACAGGGGTACGGTGGGAGCCCACCTGAACAGGATGCCTCGCCGTCGCAGGGCGCACTCACACCCACACTGACGCACACTGGGACAACTTAGATGCAGGGATTCACCTCACGCACACACCTTTGGGATGTGGGAGGAAACAAGTCCCCGGAGACAACTCCACAGAGACAATGGCCAAGGCCAGGAACTGATTTTTCCTTCATCAACATTATAACGAAACAACTTTGAAAAAATGATGTTATTTGAGAACACTGCTTCACTTGTGTGACCCTTTACATGTGTTATCTTATTTGATCAACATTACAGTCTTGGCATAGACACTATTATTTTTTCTGTCTTGTGAATGAGGAAGCTGAGGATCAGAAAGGCTTCACAGCTAGTAAACAGTACTGCTCCTTCTACTTCACCCCACTACTGACGAGATGAGGTTAGTTTTAGTGGAGAGAGAGGTAGAGACAAAGCTATAAGGTCCTGATTCTTCACGTGGTCCCATGCTGCCTCTTCTGTAGAAACAACCAATGAACTCTCACCTGGTGATTCTGCAAGGTGCTCTTGTTTCTCTTCTCTGTCCTGAAACTGAATTAAATGCGACCACAAAGCCGACTTCCCCTGAAAGTACAAGGGATATAAAATTTTTCATTTTATAAGAAATAATTCATAAAAAAATAATTTCTCATCAAAACCATTCACGTTGAAACAACCATTGTGAAGTTTGGCGACCCAAGCTCATCCGTTCCTAGCTGTGTGACGTCATGTATAACGAGGGTCATTCTTTGCCTCACTGAGAACACTGGCGCCATTGTGAAGTTTGGCAACCCAAGCCTATCCGTTCCTCGTCACATGTAACGAGGGTCATTCTTTGCCTCACTGAGAACACTGGCAACAGCTGGGAACGGCAGCTACTAAGCAAGAGGCCAGAAGTGGAGGCACACAGATCGCTGACCCCGGCTTGGCTGTTCCTTAGTTGTATGTGCTTAGGGCTGTCTATACTAGCCACACCAGAAACCAGGGAATTAAGAGGCTCTAGCAGCACCTGATGTTTTTGCATATCCATATGCAAAATATGTTTCAATATATGGAACAGCAACCAGGGAAGAAAGTTGGGACAAGAGGAGAAAGAGAAAAGGGGAAGAAGAAAAGAAATATGCACCCAACAGAAACAAAACAGCACAAAACCAGAAAGGGACAGGAGAAAGACAAAAGCAAAGAAACCATCTTAATCTTTTTTTAAAATTTTCCATCCTGAATAACTAGATAACTTAACAAGGAAAGAAGTGCTAATTCTGGCTGACTGACGTCTTTGCTGGACAGTGACAGCGGCCCTGAGTGGGATCCACGGGGGTAGAGCCTGTGCAGAGTGTGGGCTGCTTCATCCTTTCCTGTTTACCAGGAAAGAGCGCGACCGCCTCCTAATCACGGGTTACGTTTTCTTTTTCTGGAATCGAAACGCCCGTGGTGCGTTTCTAGTCATCCTGTGACAAGGAGACAGACCCTTTCATTATGATGGTGTCCTTTTCTCCTTGCTCCGTTTCCTCACAGGGCTCCTAACGGCCATGTCACCGGGGCGCGGACGCGGTTACCTGCTTGACCAGCAAGCCGTGGCTCCATATCCTCTCCAGAAGGTCACAGAGGCTGGCGATCAAGGTGTTCTCCTCCAAGCCCGTGATGTTCGCTTCTCCGTGGCCCAGCTCCACTGCTTCGTGGCCCATCTTCTCCACCAGCATGCGTTTGGTCTGGAAACATCACGTGTGGCCACAAGTGTTATCCCAGCAGCAAGGCCAGAGCCCACAAGTCCGCCACCGGATCAGGAGACCTGGGGTCCCTGCGTTATACTTCTAACTGCAGATTTTTAGTCACCTTGGGAAAAGTGTCTTAATCTCTTTGGTCAACTCACTGGAGTAATATTATGCATACTTCTACTATTTTGTCAGAGAAACAGAGGGCCACTAAAGGGATACTTTGAAATGATTTTAAAGTACCCCCATGCAAACATGTTAATGTTTATGCACGACACTTTTCAGATTACTAATTTAACACTGAGGAATTACACCAGACCTAGAAAATGCCCTGTCAGAAGCTAAAACCCCATCCTGCCACCACAGCTCACCCCACTGCCCCACACCTTAGCAAACGAACAGTGTCTGCACGTAGTTCTGATTGCACTGAGGCAGAAGCCGTAAGACAAACCGGAACTCTCTGAGTGCACTAGGTCTCTTTTTTTCCTTCCTCCTTTTCTGTTTCATTTCTTGCGTGCTCATGAGCATGCACCAGAAAACGGAAAGGAAATGGAAATCAGGTTCAGGTAAGTTGATTTACAGCAGTCGTAGCTGCTCTTATAAAATGTAAAGTGAGGGGGAATCCAGTTCCTTTAGGCAGGGACCTTGTCTGTCTGATTCAGCACTGACTGTGGATGCTAAAAATAGGGCATTTATTGCATACACACAGAGAAGGTCCTGGAGAAATGACTGACAGATGAATGAATAAAATTACTGGTTAAAATGTTCTGAGGTTTGCCAATCTGTATTGCTACCTCTGGTAAACACAGATATCAGAGAGGAGACTGGTATATAATATACACAAGCCCACAACACAGCTAGCATCTTCTAATGGGTCTACTCACACATGTATGGACACAGATAAGGTTCCAACAGACGCACATACAGACACACACACATAAATGTGTAGTCTTTTGCATAAGATGACAACATCCCTGACACAACTTCTGACTGGCTTAATATCCATTCATGTCGGAGAGGAAGACAGCCATGGCTGAAAAGGTGACAAAACTGTGCAGAGCTCCCAAGTCACTGATTCTACGGGCCATGGAGGAGCCATGGAGGCTCATGACCTCAGGAGAAAGCACACGAGGTTTGGGCCCCAGGACAAGTTTTCTTCTAGGGAAGCTACGGGCTCAAACGGGGTGACCGCTGCTCATCATAGCCCCACACGTGGAGTAACCGCGAATGCACACCGTGTCCTCGCATCTGTAATACGTACCTTCATTCTACATTCCTTTAATAAGCCTTCCACAAATTTCCAGTTGGTCTGTGCAATCACGGCAGGAGAGAGGTCTGACAATTTGGGTTGCCTCAGGTTTTTTCCTAAACTTCGCGCCTCTTGCATATATTTCTAAAAATTAAAGAGCATTTTTAATGCATAAACATCAGATATTCTTCTGACCTATTTAACCTTGAAAAAAAGCAAGTGTGGGAAGAACGGAAGTGTACACATGCAACAGCAACTCAAGTTTCAGTGTGCCAAAAGGCAGACCCCTGTGCTCCCACCAACCATTAGCCCCTGTGAAAACAGGGGGACAGAAACCCCATCAGGTTAAAATGCATTCAAATGAGATGGAATTTCATCTAGTTCGGTCGCTTCATTGGAAAGACCCGAGGTTGTGATTAGTCAGGAGCACGGCTGGAATGAAAAAACTGGAGGTCTGGGTTACAGTCCAGGTTCTGCAGGAACCCAGTGATTCTCCGGTCACTGGTTTCCCACACCTGTCCCCGCAGATCACGTGGCTCTCGGGCATTGCTCCCAGCCAACCCTTTCCTCCAATCAAGTCACAGCAGGACCTCTAGAATCTGGGGGCAACTGGTTTTATGACCTCAGGCGTTCTGTTTATTCATAAGATGGGCCTAAAACAGGCCTACCTCCCTCAAAGAAAGGCTTGGAGACCACTCTGAAATGTGGTCCACAAGCAGGAGGCCGCTCGTTTCTGTGACATGTTTGTCCTGTGCCTTCTTCCATCATCAAGAGAAAGTGAAAACATAGCAGTACTTGTGATGGCTCAGAGAGTAGCTGAGAAACCCAGTCCACTGAGCTTGAGCTTTGGTTAGTAAATTCCCAGAAAAAAATAAAATAAAATCACTACATGTGATGTGTGCAGGACGCCTGCTGGCTCTTTCTATGCCACCTGCAAAAGCTCATTCAGGTACCTTATGTTTGCTTCAGGACCACAGGACAGAATCCCCCAAACTCCAAGTATCGTAGGACCATATTTAGAGAATAACTACTCTAAATTATATAGTAAAACTAGCAGTTTGTTGGAGAGGGAGAGAGATTGCTAGCCAGCGCATCCTCCCACAGACACATATGTGAAATCTATCTTACTATCTTAAGGGCAGAATTTGAAATTGTAAGTGAAGATGTGTAAAATCCTTTGCATTCTTTAAATGAAAGGGAGTTTGTACATTTAATGTATTTCTCCTCCAGAAGAAAAATAATCTGATAAATCTGTTATAAATTGTTTTTAAAAAATCCCACTGATTAGGGATTCAACGGACTAGTTTACCTGCTATTTCCCGACTCTCCTGATGAAATGCCACATTAACGAAATGACCTGCTTCTTTTCCAGTGCAACCATTTTAAGTACAGGTTTAAAAATCAAATGAACTCCACAAGCATTAAGTTCCTGTAAACTTGTGTATACCTCTTTCTGCTTCAAACCATTTTTAGAGGGAAAGCTGAGAATGAGAGACAACTATCACCACTAGGAAACTAAGTGTTAACAGGTCTATTGAAATATCCTGAAGGTCAGTTTTCAAAGAAATAAAAGCAGGAAATAAAGTGTTAGAAAAACTAACCTGAAGTAGAGGCAGGGATCCCATGTGAGAATTTTATCTGCAATTCTTATTATTTCAGGTTGCACTAATGTTATTTGGAATATTACAAATCAGAGATAGAAGTCTAGTAAAAACAAATGTTATCTGGTGAGGTTCTGTTTCTCCCCCATCCTCAGTTCCTCTGCCTGTAGGGCTTGTGCAAATGCAGAGAGAACCACTATAAGACTCAATTCTCAAGAAGAGTTAAGTATCAAACTTGGCTTAGGAAGAAACACTGCCTGCAAGAAAAGGAGTGAGGAGCATGGTCAGGCAAGAGGGTAGGAAGAAAAAATAGTTGGATTAATAATTAAGCACCGTTTAAAATTTGTGTTCTCTTATATAAATGAAAAGTTAGAATAGGGCTGTCCTTTGAGTGGCCATAAAGTCTGAGCACCCAGCACTGTACCCATGGGGTGGGGAGAGTTATCAGCCAGCAGGGAGCCCCACGAGGCTACATGTAAAGTCTCCTGAGCATCTCTGTTGGAGGCACAGGACCAGCGACATCCCATGGGCATGCACAGAAAGGAGGCTGACGGTGGCACAGGCCCTTCCTCACAGCAAGAAGGGAGGTGGACTCCGAATACTGTACAAATCAAGTGATGAGAAAAACGTGATTTGCTTTTGGAAGACAGGGTGTATTTTAAGATGAAAATGGAGGAAAAAGACAAACTTTCACAAGGAATGCTTTTATAATACTACTAGAGGTCCTGTGCACGAAATTTGTGCACGTGTGTGTGTGTGTGTGTGTGTGTGTGTGTGTGTGTGTCCCTCAACCCAGCCTACACCTTCTCCAATCTGGGACCCCTCGAGGGATGTCCGACTGCCCATTTAGGACATCCTTCTCACAATCCAGGACTGCTGGCTCCCAACCACTCGCCTGCCTGCCTGCCTGACTGCCCAACCGCTTCTGCCTGGCAGACTGATTACCCCCTAACCACTCCTTGCCAGCATGGTCGACACCTAACTGCTCCCCTGCTGGCCTGATTGCCCCTAACTGCCCTCCCCTGCAGGCCTGGTCCCCCCCAACTGCCCTCCCCTGCCAGCCTGGTCACCCCTAACGGCCCTCCCCTGCAGGCCTGGTCCCCCCCAACTGTCCTCCCCTATAGGCCTGGTCACACCAACTGACCTCCCCTGCAGGCCTGATCACCTCCAACTGCCCTCCCCAGCTGGCCTGATCGCCCCCAACTGCCCTCCCCTGCTGGCCATCTTGTGGAGGCCATCTTTGACCACATGGGGGGGCCATCTTGTGTGTTGGAGTGATGGTCAATTAGCATATTACCTCTTTATTATATAGGATAGCCTACTTCACTGCAGTGGGAAGTCACCTCAGATTTCTTCTGAGAGTTCTAATATGCCCTTCTTCATTTCTGCCAAAAGCAACAGACCACTAGGAACTACCTATGAACATACATCCTGCTCATTAGTAACCACCGAACCAACCACTCTTCAGTACAGGCTCTCCCCGAGTTTTCTAATAAACAGCCTGGCACTGAGCTTGTGAAGAGAAGGACATGGTAAAGTTGGGTAAATTTATGCTAATGTCATAATAGGAACAAAATACAACTAAGAGTCCTCTTGCCCTGAGGGCGGCTGTTTCGTGCCACCTGGTATGCAGGGTTACGGTAAGAGGACCTGCCTGGAAGTCAGGAGTCCTGGGCTGTAGGCCCGGCGCTGCCTTTGTGCATCCATCTAACTTTGGACAAGTCGCTTGGACTTCAGTTCCCTTTGGAAGAAAAATAATTTGCTAAATCTGTTCTCCATCCTCCCTCCCAATCACACTGATTAGGGACTTGAAGAATCAGTTTTACCTGCCAACAGTACAGAATTACTCGTGTTAGCACACACCACCACGAAAAGGTGCCAAACACAAGAGGCAGTGAAATGCAGAATGGAGAGGCTGCGCGTTCATGTCTCGGGGTGATGTGGGGCATGCCAGAGCTCTGTGCACTCACGCAGTGGGTCATTCAAGGAACACCAAAGACAAGAGTCGGGAACATCTGCAAAGTACTTTCAGGTTAAGAACATACCAGGCAGCACTCAGAGAAGGATTTTTTGGGAAGTCGTGCAGGAGGAGGTGGGCCCTGGTCCCACTCCCAGAATGCCATGGAGTTCTGACAGACCAAAAGTTCCCCGGATGGCTAAGAGGATGGAGAATGCCAAAGACAAAAAAAAAAGGATATGGGAGAAAGAGACAAGCAAAACAAGCATGCATACGATAAAGTCACAGCAAAAGAAAAAGGAGAGAGAAAATACAGTAGCACAAAGAAAAGCACTAGATAAATTCAGTTCTTAAGAAAATGTTTAAAATCATATAGGCATAAACAAAAAAAAAGCAATATATATTTAAAATGATGTTTTCTGCTTTATTTTTACACATTTGAGTTTAGACTATAGTTAACAGATTTTCTGATTGCATTTTTTTCTTTTGATCTCAAGAAATAATCAACTTATTTAAAATTACTCAAACACATAATTATGGTTTTATTTTCAAGTAGTACAAATAAAGCATAGGATCTTAATTTTAAAATAACTTAAAAAAACTTTTAAAATGGTGTCAGCAAGACAAAGACAAAGAACAGGCAGATACATCTTTACTTACTATGTTTAAATTATGCTTAAAATAATGTCTATGCTTCTTATAAAATTTTTTCCCTACAAGAGATATATTGACCAAAAATTTATCTTAAACTTGGCCTTGTAATTGTGATACACAAGGAGTCTTGTATTCGAGCCTTTTTTAGATGTACTAAAATTACAAAAATGGGAAAAAAAGGTGTTTTCTGCTCTAAGTCAGTACAAAAGGATTACTATTTAAAATATAACTGAACTGTTTTTGTGTTGTTTTTTTTTAAAGAATGGGAAAGACCCTATACAATGACACCTGCTGGGCTGAGTGAGCCTCGCTGGTGGCTCTGCATCAAGCATCCCAGGAAGGCAGCCCACATACCTCCTTCAAGTCGTTGTCCAGGCCCATGTGCTCGGAATGCTGGCGGAGGCGGTCTTTCCTGCGCTGCGTGGTGGCGCTCCGACTTACCCAGCGACTGAGAAATAGAATCCATAGGTGAAAACAAGCAAACCCAAGCAATGTAGTCACTTAACTTTAAAAACAGAAAGAATGAACTGTTCAAAACAAAAGACTGACAATACTTATTTTTCTTTTTAAAATACATGACAGCTTTACTGAGATATAACTTAAATACCATGCAATCACCCATTTAAAGCATGTAGTTAAATGGTGTTTAGTATATGCAAAGAGATATGTAATCGTCACCACAATCAAGACTTTTTTTTTTTAAAAAAGCGTAGTTATCCCCTCTGTAATGACCTTCTCCTTTCCATCTTGCCCACCCAACACAACCCCAAACCCTGAGTGAATATTACCCTCTCACTTCCTTATTCTCGTACCCATGTAGGTTAGTTTTTTATTTCATTCATGGCTACCCATGAATCACTTTACCTGCCCTTTACCAAGTCTCCCCCAACCCCCTCAAAGACTATTTCCACACCTTTCGCTTTATTCTCAAGTACCTCCACACAACTGAAGACCCACCTTGCCTCCTTCCCCATGCACTCTATTTAGTGATGCACACACAGACACCTCATCTTTCTTCTAATCCCGAAGTATGAAACATACTGGCCATGCCTCAAAACTATTTCTCCCACCTATATCCCTGACCAGTTCTCTCTTGCCTTCTTCAGCCTGCTCTATGAATCACCGCCTTTGCTGCCAATCCTATTTTTCTCTCCCACCTGCATATTTCCTTGCAGCTTACAAGCATGCTGACCCTATAGTTATGTTGAAGTCTCTTTCTTCACTCTTCTTATGTAAAAACACTTTAAAAGCTTAGCGGTAAGGCCTTTATTTACCTTTGGCTCTTTAGTTCATCTCAAATCAGCTTCTTCCCATGAAAATGCTCCTGATGGAGCCAGATACCCCCACCTGCAATGGCTATTATTCATTCCATTCTTAGCTTACTCAAACTCTCTGCTACATTTAGTACTGCTGATCACTCCTTCTACCTTAAAACTCCAGCTATTTTCAACCGCCTCAGTGTTTCCAATGGAAGGCTCTCTCACATTTGAGCCTTTGTCCATGCGGTGTTCTCCCAACGTCTATTCATCTTCCAGATAGCTTAGACGGCACACGGAAAGTGTTCTATGATTCTAACAAATCTAAATTCTACCCCTCTTATATTCCCCAATTGTAGTTCCTACCAGTGTGTTATTCTTACTTATCTTTCCTCTCTACTATAAACTCTTGAAGGGCTTGTATCATGTCTATCAGCCATTTTACTGGCAGAATCTACTACGTCACCTGCCCCTTCTACAAATAGGCCTTAAATAAATAATCACAGATGCAACCTAACATTTAGGTTTACAGATGTTCATCATAGTACATATGCAGTGTGTTTCCTTTATTCCAAGACACATTTTGGCTTTTACATGTTCCTGAAACGAGGATATACCTTTCACTCCAAAAGCAGGCTGAATGCATACTTTTTGAAAAAGCTTTTGAGTTAATCGCAGATCTTACACCCAACAGTTAGAATTAAGTAAATGTGATCAAAACAACCTAACATTCAACAATAGGAGGTACTATGGAAGAGTGCCCCTGATACAATAATGAATTAAAAAAGCACGGCACAACATTCTACAAACAATATTCTAATTTTGTATAAAGGAAAAAAGTGTGAACATGCACATATGTGTGCACACACAGCAGGATCCATGCAATGGAAAAACAACACCAAATGTTAACATATCATGATGATGGCGTTATGGGTGGTTTTAAAATTTACCCTATCACTTTCCAGTAAAATTTTGAATGAATGTGTATCATTTTATATTAAACTATTTTTAAAAATTTCCCAGGTTTGACTATGTATTCATCAAACCATTCTAAGAATATTTACTCTTGAGTATATCCTTGACAGCAGAGATACCCACAATTTAAATTGAACTTACAGCCCTGGCTGGTTTGGCTCAGTGGATAGAGCACTGGCCTGTGGACTGAAGGGTCCCAGGTTCAATTCCAGTCAAGGGCATATGCCCAGGTTTTGGGCTCAATCCCCAGGAGGGGGTGTGCAGGAGGCAGCTAATCAATGATTCTCTCTCATCATTAATGTTCCTATCTCTCCCTCCCTTACCTTTTCTCTCTGAAATAAATAAAAATATATTAAGATGAACTTATATTTTAGCCATTCAGGAAAAGTCATATTGCATTTCTGACAACTTATTACTTTTAATTATTTTATTAATAAAGTATCCAATTTACAAAAAAACTTAAAATGAGAAAGCTGCTTCTTTTGTTTCTTTTAAAATACTTTATGCATGCCTTTGGTTTCAAGCTTCTCAATCATCTCATTTCAGTCTGCTAGAGGAGCACTCCAAATCTAAATTCTACCCATCTTCAGTCTGCAGGTCTACCCCTCTTATATTCCCCAATTGTAGTTCCTACCATTAAATAATTATAAGAAAAATGGTAGCAAGAAAGGTAGCTTCTCTTAATATATATATATACTTAAAAAGAATATAGATAGGTTTATATCAGGGGAAAAAATGTGCAAAGATCTAGTGATAGATCTCTGAAGGGGAATCCTTGGAAATCTCACTCAAGCAAAGGATCAATGTAAGACTGTAAAAAGAATACAAAGAAAATTGAGGAACCCTAGCTGGTTTGGCTCAGTGGATAGAGCATAGGCCTACAGACTGAAAGGTCCCAGGTTTGATTCCGGTCAAGGGCACATACTGGGGTTATGGGCTTGATCCCCAGTGGGAGGCATGCAGGAGGCAGCTGATCAATGATTCTCTCTCATCATTTATGTTTCTATCTCTCCCTCTCCCTTTCTCTCTGAAATCAATAAAAAATATATTATATTAAAAAAGAAAGAAAATTGAGGAAACTGAAAAGATCCAGAAAAAAACATAGTAAGACTCTGACAAAGATTTTTTGCTTGACCAAATGACAATCAGTGCACTTCCTTGTAAAATCTAGTTTTAGTAAGAACCCTGCTGAGTCAGCTGAGGAGGAGCTCCCACCCTCAGGGTACAGGAGCTCTTTTCTGATTGTGTTCCTCATCCTTCACATCCCCTGGGTGATGCCCAATCATCTGGCCAGCCTTCAGCAAGAATCCGGTTAGGACAGTGGAGTCTGAATCCCTCCTTACCCCTAATGTTTCCTCTTAGTAACTGTCCATCTCTGCTCCTTGGCTATAAAGCCCTCCTTGCCCATCACGTGTCTGGAGCTGAGGCCAATCTCTCTTCCCCACTGCGATGCCCCACTGTGGTGGTCCCTACACCTACCGCCATGGTCTCTTGAATAAAGTCTGTCTTACCATCTTCAAAAAGTGTCATGAATATTTTTCTTTAACAACTCTGAAGCAGAGTATAAACATCAGCTGATAAAAACTTTATACAATAAATAAAGGGAAAGAGTAAAATATAAGTAACCAAAAAATGTGTAGCCCTAGTCAGTTGCTCAGGGGTTGGGGTTGGAGCAAAGGCCCTGAGGACGGAAGGGCCCGAGGCTTTGATTCCAGGTCAAGGGCGTGTGCAGGCTCAATCAAGGTGCACTCAGGAGGCAACCAAGCAAAGGCCCTGAGGACAGAAGGGCCCGAGGCTTTGATTCCAGGTCAAGGGCGCGTGCAGGCTCAATCAAGGTGCACTCAGGAGGCAACCAATCCATGTCTCTCTCAGAT